TGGCGCCCGAGTGCAAACGGGGCCTTGACAATGGGGCCTTGTTGTCAGGAAGGGGGATTCCTTCAGAGAAACTTTTGTCAGGGAACTCACGTGGAACTCGGGTGAGAACCCTCGAGAGCTCTGTGGATGACTTGCGCATCGCGAGCTGCGAGCTGCTACTTGAAATAAATTTTTTTTCTCCTCGACTCGAAGGCGGCTTTCCATCCTTCTGCTTTCTTCGTTCAACGGACGCGTGACGATTGTGTGAATCACGTCAAAATTCCTCGCTAATGGGCCGTTTACGACGGAACACTGGCACGATCCTATACACCATCTTTCCCTTCACGAGTTCACAATCTCGTTACGCGTAATAAATTATTCCAACGAAAAAGATCACCCGCTCTTGCGAAAATACAAAAAATTTTAGAACACTTGGTTCAACATAGTCAATCGTATAATTCAACAAATCATCCGCTATATACGAAATAAGTCTTTTTATTACCTATGTAATATTTAATAAGCAAATTTTTTATTTAAATAAAAAATTGTTCTTTATTCATGTATAAGGTCCTTTCGTTTTTATTATTCGTAAATTTCAGTCAACAACAGTCAACTATGTTCATCAACTAAAGGAACAGAAACAAAATCATATCGGAATATTATGAAGCGTGGAATAAAAAATATTAACTTATCAGTTATTTTCTTACAATACTTGGCTCACGCAGATCTAATCGTATAATAATTCATTCCCATTATAATTTAGTTCGAATCATTCCGCAGCATGGAACCCTTCCTATCGATCGCGCCAAAACTGGTAGGAATACTACAGTGTGCAATTTTCGCGCGCACCCCATAAGAAATCATAACCCTCAGATCGCCGAAATTATGTCCGTTTGTGTGTGATTCTACCCGCCAATCAGACGCAGCGAATATGAGCTCGCTATAACGAGTTGCCTCCCTTATATCATGTACAGGGAAACTGATTGTGTATTAGAAATTCCAAGCATTTAATCTTCCAGCGTAATAATATAATTACAATAAAGCAATTATGATGAAAAAAAACCATCAATTGCTTCCTTCATTACAATATCCAATACACGAACAAACGTATCTTTTATCGTATTGTAATATTTTATATATAAAGCCCAAATATAAAAGGCCAATACGACAATCTGTTGAAGACAGATTTCGATTAACTTCACCGCAGGAGGTTTCGACTGCTTTTCTTCGATATTTTAGTTCGGGTACAGCCGTAACTCTATGGTAAAATGATAACAAAGGTACCAAATTTCTATTGTAATAATAATAGCAATAAGAGCGGTGATCAACGTATAAACAAGCTTTGTAGAATTTAACGACAGTTTCTGTTGCTATTAGATCAAATGATTTTCAAATCTGCTTTATGCGATCAATTAAATAACGTTCTGCGTGCGTGTGTGATTACATTATTTACAACTCAATGTTAACGCCATTTAATATTAGTTCAAATATTGTTTAAAATTACAATGCGCGCACAAATGCAATGTACATGAATGCCGCTTATTTCACTCTTATAATCTTATTGTTTAATCTTTTATCTTTTATTACTATTTAAACTATATTATTTTCCATCATATCCATTAAAATGATTTCATACAAGAATATTTATTAGAACAGCTTCCTTATAAATCTCGTTTATTCATAATGCAATGATGAACAGCAATTTGTAAAGTTCAATAAGCATAACTAATTAATTTCTACATAGACCAGGTCAACGTATCCAAAACCATTAATTTCATTAAATAAGTAACACTTCGACGCATTCAGAAATCGATTTTCTGTCAAATTATCAAATGAACGCAGGATAATTTCATTAGTGCTAGAATGGAAATCTTCCATTCTAGTTTCTTAGAATCGTAATATCTATTAGTCGAAGATTTAAAAAATAAAATGTATTAATTTAGTTAATTTTATTCAATTTTTTATCATTTTGATACCATTTTTCACAAGAGAAGACATGTGAAATATGTTATAATGAAAAAACTTATTTGTATCGTCTCGTAATTATTTAATTTTATCAACAGTACCTATATTTTTTTACACACACATTTCTTTTTTAGGAAGCTAATTACATTTTTATTTTTACAATTTGATTAATAAGTCTTATCAAATTATTATTTTTAAGAATACAGAGCTGCTTTTTTTCTAGTTTATTAATGCCCAAAACTTTGTTTTTCAAAATTTATCAAGCTAATTTATCAACTAAACGTTTTCTTTAATTTGTAAGTATTAACAAATTTATTATACTGTAATGTAAAATTGTAAATTAAATTTTACATAAAAAAGTAAAATTTATTACGTAGCAATGTTTTATACATTATTTAAAAAGTCAAAGGTGCAATTGAATAAGCATATTTAATGGAATAATATAAATAGCAAGACATGATTATATTACAAACATAGAAAAATATAAATAATAAAGCACGGTGTTTTGTGTACATAATCTGTAGGTATATTTAATGCACATAATTATAATTTGTAGATTATATCTATTTGTACAAAGTAATATTTTAGTAACTACACATAAATCGAAAATTTTAAAATTCAAATAATGTACAAAAACAATGCGCGACGTCTAAATAATTCGCTAGTTCAATTAAAAAAAGACGAAGATAAATTCGAAAATAAAGAGGAAAACATACAAAATAGAATAAAAAGGAAAGAGACGAAATGAGCGACAGAGAAGGAAAGACGCTACCTCTCCATGCAAAAATATCCCCGTTAACGATTATCAGCTCCTCTTTCCGTCTCGCGCCTCGTTATATTGTGTCCCCGTCGCGCGCGCAAATTTAGAAACAAAAGACGGGTGGAAAGCGTGCTCTGATTGGCCGTCCGGTCCCTGACTCCTCTCTCTGATTGGCCCGCGGGACCGCACCCATCCTGTAATGGCCGCTTTGTCGTTCCCCGGCACTCTATGTGTACGCGCCTGCACGCTTCAAGCAGCCTCGACAACCCCATGCCGTCACCCCGCGCGATTCCCCAACCCACCCCTCCTCCCAGTCTCCCTTCTACTTGGCTCTACCAGCCACCCCCGCCGCTCGCGGCAGCCGCCCTCGTATCTCGAATTATATCAAAATATAATCACTGGCTGCCGCGTACAGGTTGTGTGCATATGTATATGTCCGTATGCTGGGAACGCTCATTCACATATATACAGAAGTGTCCGAGTCGTGGCCCGCGGGCCATTTTCTCCCACATGCTCTCCCCGTTTCCCCTAGTCTACGATGCGAATCGACAAGCGTGATAAGTTAGTAGTGGGGGTGTACAGGCAAGGTGCGGACTCTCTTAGTTAAATCCACTTAGGCACCTCTGATGTACAATATACGCAAGCTGCGTTAATGTGCACACGCACGCAATTGGGACAGCATAGATGAAAACTGCATGTTGCGATATTTGAAGAGTCTCTTTCTCTTATTCTCGGTTTTTTTCTCTTTATCATTGAAACAATAAAATACCGGGAATAGAGTAAAAGAATCTAGATTCTCATTTGTAGGCATACTCTATTGTTGCCATACCTCTTTGTACTCTGTTTTGCTTCACTGTATTTAGATTCTCATTTGTAGGCATACTCTATTGTTGCCATACCTCTTTGTACTCTGTTTTGCTTCACGAGAGTGAGCTCTCTGTATGTTAAATTTATAAAAACCAACTGATCTAAAAGTCAATTGATACAGTAGCTAACACTCACTTAATCTCACATACACACACAATTTGTATTTTTAGTATTTTTTTCAGAAATTTATAATTATGCGTGAATAAAAATTAATTTGTCAAAAGCACCTTTCAGAAAGGCACTCCCATTTCTAATAGATTTGTAATAATCGATCGTATATTTATTGCATAGATAGTAACATTTAAAAGAAACACAATTTGCTTCAGTCATTTGTTTTGCTTTGCCAAGCACAGCACAGATCTCACCAGAAAGCTTTCTTTTCTACTTTCTAAAATCTTTGAAGTAAAATTTAATTCTAAAGAGTAATTAAGAGTGATAATTGAATCAGTGTTGAAGAAAAGTGGCCTGATTATCAATTTTTAAGAGTAAGATTTCACTCTTTAAAATTGAATACTACTCTCAAGATTTTAGAGAGTAGGGAAGAGATGGAGAATAAAAAAAGCATAACAAGAAAAAAGAAGAGCTATCAGAAAAGAAGATATTAGAAAAGAGCGGAACAGAAAAAAGAATGGAATGAAATCTTATTTCGGAAAATCCTGTTGCAAAAACCTACATCAACCTACTGCTCTCCATAAACTCGCAGTAACTAATCACCAGTTCTAAAAATTTATTTCTTTTACAGTCGGCTTTTGTGGCGTTGCCATAATCTATCTTTAAACCATTGACTATTATAAAGCCACTATCGCCTATTACAAAGCTTACGCCAATATATAATCTTAAAGCCTGCGTTCTAAAATTGCATAAGCGCGTAGTTGTAAGTCTTTGTAGTCGTAAGAATTGACCCACAGTCGAATTTAAGGTAAATATTCTACTATGATTAGTCAATTCTTGCAACTACAACCGCTTACAAACGCTATGCTTACACAATTGTAGAATAGACTTAATGCGCGATTTACAACAGCAGTAGAGTAGTAGATGAGACTGTAAGAATAAGAAATTGATCAGTCACAGTTGATTATTCTTCTCAAATTCGACTGCGATTGGTCAATTGTTTATTCTTACAGTCTCATCCACTAATGCTACTGCCATTGTAGACCACATATTAGAATTTGCAAAAGGAGAAAGCAATTAAAGAATATATTGACTTTCAAAAATTCTTGGTGTAAAATACCACTTAAAAAAATGAAAATATTGCCACTATTGAAAAAGAGTATATATATTCTAGATGTCCCATAGTTATAAATAAAGATTTCAACGTTCTAATAGTGTTTCTTCTTATTTTGATTTGACATTAACTTCATCTACTATAATATATAAAATTAATCGTAGAAATTTATGCATAGAAATAAATGTTTTTATTTTCGCTTACCTGTATCCTATCTTCAGGTAGATCAGTCCTTAGGCTTAGCATCTCGCGGGCATAGACGTCAGGATAATGGGCTTCCTTGAAAGCTGCCTCCAGCGCCTCCAGCTGCTGTGACGTGAAGATCGTCCTGGAGCAACAACCACATGAACCTAGTTATATGCCATTACAGAGCTTCTACTTTAAATCTATCCTACTCTCTCTTAAAATATCGAAAAAGTTCAAGTAGTGGTATGTATGGCGTTTATATAGGAAAATATATCAAAATCAGAAGTATCAAAATCTTTGTTAATTACCTGCCTAACAGAGTAACATTTTATAATAAACAAATGCTTTCTATGACAAGTATATCGAATTAAAAAATACTACAGACAAATCCAAATAAAACTAGAACGTTATGAGCATTACTATAAGTAATTAAAAGCTTTCACAATTTTCTCGTAGAAAGATACATCAAGTATCGAACATTAATAATTATATTAATAAATATTATACATATACTCAATGTATTATATAAATGTATTTGTAAATGTGTTGTTTGAAAAAGAAGGTAGTTATTAGAAGCAAGATCATGTTTAGAACTCAAACTTTTCTATAAGAAAGAAATTAAAAACAATATTTATATGCAAAGGATAGACATATATTTTATTTCTATTATTTAAGGAGCACTGTTACGTTATCTAATAAGTATAATAACAATAATATTAATATCATTTTTTGGTGGACCGCTAAATTCAAACCGAATGAGACAAAATGTTACAGCGGTCTATAAGCTAGATCACGGGTGCTTCTAAATAATTGTGTAAATTTATATACTACGAATGTAATTCTTCGATTACTCACCGAAATTTTAATGTTTAATTAACTATTTAATGTTAATTAATTAACTAATTTAATGTCTAATTAAATTGTTAAAATAACAATATTAATGTTTATTATTAAGATGACAGAATACATGTACATGTTTTCTGTTAGCAGTGTATGTGATATAAAAGTTAATTTAATTTAATCATCATCTCAATAATACTTTTGAAATTACTCTTATATACTCTCAATCTTGTTAACATGTATTAGCATACAATCCTCACAGGTCTGTTTTTCCTAAGTAGCCGCAAGTATCTATTCCGTTCATTAGCTTGCAATTAGTTGCAAACGGGCATACGTTTTATCGATGTAAATTCGATGTAGAAACGAGAGATGAAGCGAAGTAACCAATGATTACTTCGTTTCTTCTTCTTTTTCATAAGCAGGATGTATAACTTAGCAACGCGTGATGGACAGTCGATGGTAGACAGGCGAGTGTTCAGCCAGAAGGCACATATGCGCGTGATATGACAGAAACTGGAGAAGCGAATTTGACGGCAAGACGTCCAATTAGTCTTGCGATTCGACAAATTGTAGGTTGCGCGGAGAACGAGCTGGCATCTGCCTTTGTGGGCCGAACGAAAGCTTCGAAATTGAAAGTCATTTCCCGAACGATCATCCGCTCGTTAAGCGGACACGCGAAAATCGTCGACAATTTTGCTTTAGTTTTGTGTGCTCGTTTAAAGATTGCCGTGTAATCCTTTCGAATTTTTAACAGTGATCGTATCAAAATATCAAATAAATTGAAATAAGCGCTAATTTAAAGTTTGTGATGTTAGAATATGCTCTTTATGAATAATTACTTATATTTCTAATTTTATTTATTGCAATTAAAGAGAACATCTTTTTTTGCTATTGCACATACATATAATAAAATGTCATTTTTTAAATAAGAAATGTAACTATTCAAAATACAGAGTAGAATGGGGCTATTTCGTCCATTTTTTACAATATTGTTTATGTGTAACGTATATTGAACATTAGAAGATTATACTTGTGCTCTCAAAAAGTAATTATGATTAGGTATACAAGGTTATTATAAAAATGTTACTGTGTAAAAAGATATTATTTGTAGTTATAAATTTTATATTATAATAATATACTTTAAACTTGAAAATGACAGAATAGTCCAGCTCTCTTTCTATATACATATGTATATATACCCTATCTAATTAGATTCTTTTTCTGACTTTTATTTTACAATAATTTAATTTTTATATGTATATAAAATAATATATATTATCCTATTTATATGTGTATGTACAAAGTCCAATAATATTTCAGCATGTAATTAAATATTTTTTTTATTTTGCGTTGGTAAATTAAAATAAAATTATATAAAAATATTATTACGGTATATGTATATAATAAATCTTCCTAATACTTGTTAATACAATATTAATATAATCTGTTTTTGAGTATATTTGATATTAGAATTTATCATTAGAATTTGTATTATATTAGAAAAAGTGGAATTTTAATGTAGTAAATATTACTGTATTTCATGTCTTGATCGAGAGTTCAAATTTTAAAGTTACAAATATAGAAACTATTAAATTAATTAATCACTAAAATACCGTACAATTATGTTTTTCACAAAATTTGTAGTTAAGTTCAAATGTTGATCGTATAGAATTGTTTTAAATAATATTCATCAAATAATAATAATTACAAAAGATTTTATTTCAACATTTCATTTTAAGTTTAAAATTTCAATTGGCTGCTAAAGTTATTTTATATAAAATAGTAGCCATATATATTTTTCTATTGTTTTAAAATAAAAAAATTAAACTAACAATAATTATACAATAATTATACAAAACCTTTAAATTTTTTAATGAAGAATATATTTACTAACAATAAGTACAAGTAGTTGTTGATGAGCACAAATACCTTTATCAAAGTAACGAATAATTTTATTTCATGGGAAAAATGATCTAAAGAGAAAAAAAACAATGTTAAAGTTTTTGGCAGAGACTCACCTATGACGGCGTTTCTTCTTCTTTTTTTTACTAAAACCTGAGAGTCCATCTACCGTGAAATCCTTTCCTGATTCTATATTATGTCCAACACCTGTAATAACAGACAAACATGTAAAATTTTAGTAATAATAATTATAATTTTTGTATAACTTTAGAAAAGTAACAGTATATTTATGTATGTTTGTTATTATTATTTATCATTATTGTTATATATTGCAATTTTATACTTTAACAAAAAGTAAAAAGAAAAACGTAATTATGAAGCAGCGTTAAATTAGCGGAATTTATGTTTGTACATTACAAAAATCAGAGATGTGTCGAGATTAATATTTTACTGAATTCACAGCTCATTATTTGATAACATTATCTATAATTGATGATTATACAACTCTGTATGTTGAAACTGCGTAGGTACACACATCACGTATCAAATTACCTATTATATCAGACTTGGCAATGATTTGGATACAGAATACCATTCTAGTATGTGTCTAAAAAGTGAATTTTGCATTTCGGTAATTTACCTTCTTGTCAATTCATTAGTTTTTGCTTTACTGTACTCTCTTTATTATAAAAACAAGCTAAATTATATTATAATATTTTATTTCTAAACAAAGTTTATTTATTTAATATTATACATATATTGCTTTCAGCATAAAATAAAAAAAATATTTATTAAAATTATTTCCCTTTTTTAGAAAATTTATTTTCTCTTATTTAGTTATAAAACAATATATATACTGAAAGAAAAATGATTTGATATTTGTAACTATAATTACATATTACTGTACAACTATGATTAAGGTTTTTATACTATTAATAATAATAACTATATAATAACTATATATACTTCTATCAAGCAATATATAGTTGTCAACTGAAAATAACTATAATTATAATTATTTCAAACTACTTTTATGATAATTTTAATCATTTCTATAATTGTAATGACTATAATTATAGTAATTTTCGGTTACTAACTACATATATCTAATTATTGTAGTATATCCAATTACTGCAGTATACAGTCAAAATATTGACAGTATAATTAAGTACAATTTATATAACTTTATTTAAAAATATTAATTAAACGTAAAAAATGAATTTTTTAAAAATAATTTCAAAAATCTATATATATACTATATATAAAAACTATATTTGAAATAAATTAATGAATTGTATTAACTGATTTCTCAATTATCTTTCCGTAATATGCACATTTTTGTAAAAAAAAATTGTACGTTACAATTATAACAGCCCGCAATTTATGAAATTTCTTTATGAAATGATTGTCGCATATGCAATGGCAATAACGGCAATTTTTCCAGTAAATTGATCTATAAGAGAGCATGGCACTCGTAAAAACTTGCGATAAAATCCAGCTGCAAACGAAATCCGTTGGCCAAAAATAATTATCAATTGTAAATTAATGTCAAATTAACGAGCGAAAAGCAGCCTGAAGCATTGCGCACAATGAAACTCTTCCCTAAGGGTAACTCTCGTTACTATCGTTCCCGCTGTCGCTGATACTGCTGGTGGCTAATTAACTAGTAATTAAGAGCTAAATTCCAATTATACATGTCCCTCGACTAATTGGAGTCTGAAATGTTCACTGACGTCAGCATTAATACATAGGAAATTGGTTGACACTTTTTCTCGCTTAATTGGCATTTTGATGTTATTTTCATATAAAATATAGATAATTCTTTAATTACAATGAATATTATAAAATTTTTTCTAATAAACATTTATTGTTATCGCAACAATTTATATTTTCATTATAATAATAAATAATGTAAATTTTGGTTCGCTAGTTGTATTCTCAATGCAAATAAATTTTATTGCAAAATATTTTAATAGGTACTAGATAGTACATACTAAAAGATTTGTTTATTGTTATAATGAATAAATCACCATTTTATTGTATAATTTGGCATGATCAGAAGTATCTAATTAATACATGTAGTCGAGTACATTAATTTGTAGTAATAAAGAAAAATGGACAAGGAAAGAAAAAATAAATATTTCAAGCTCGGAGTACGACAACGTTTATAGTTCGCGCAGTGCATTGTTTTCAGTACAGTAAAGAGGCCTCTTTAAACCCTCGGTTCCACGTTACCTTCTTGTTCCGAGTTTTTAAGTACACTCGTTTACTTCAAGCCATCGAACCAATCATTCTACAGAAATATATCCTAAAATAAGGATTTTTACGTAAATAGAGAAATGTTGTGTTTTCTTACATTGAAGAAACAAAAGTAAAAAAAAGGGGGGGGGGAATGGCAATAAGGTCATTAAGTAATTTACTGACATTTAGCGTGCGAAAGACTCAATTTACAAATTTAAAATTATCATGTGTTATTTTGATAATAAGCTGTACTCGTTACCATGGCTAATGTTTGATAACGTGAAAGTGATCAATATCGTGCGTATGAGAAACTATTTTATCTAAATAAACGCGTAGTGTCGCGTCGCTTAAGGAATACGCAACCTAATCGATTAATCAAATCTAGTTAGCTATTATACGAGCAACTATGCGTATGCACAGATGTATGCGTTAATAGGATCGTCTAATTCGCTCTTGCGAAGCGTTAATCAGACGTACCATCTAATTCGCTCTTAGATATTATCCCGTAAGTTACCTTTGATATATTCTCCAATCTACCTTTAGAATTTCCTCGCCAAAGGGTACAAGGTCTCGAAAAATAATTATTCCTTTAGTCTTGCAACAGATATTAAGAGCATTAAAACTCTTATATCATATTACACCTGCTTGTTGGATATCATAAGATATCTAATTTCATGATTATTAATATAAACTATATTCGTTATTATAATTTTAAAGATTGGTAACAGCTAAGGGTAATCTAGCTTGTTAGAATAAATTTTGACGTAATACGAGTACTCGTAGTATAAATATAAGATAGTATATATTCTCTTTTACACAAACAACATTGTATTTCAAGTTTATACGTATATTCATTTACAATTAATTATTTATTTAGACTGTCAATAATATGAAGATTTTACGATGATTGTAACTATTTCCCACGATTATTCTAAAAAAAATACAGAATATTTCTTTTAAATATCGTACATCTGCTCTCTCTCTCTCTCTCTCTTTCTCTCTCTCTCTCTCTCTCTCTCTCTCTCTCTCTCTCTCTCTCTCTCTCTCTCTCTTTCTCTCTCTGTTTCCAATATATGAGATATTTAAATTAACGATATCCATATATAAGTATTAGATATCCAATATTAAACATAGCCGTTAAGAATCGACAATTTGAAATTTGTGTTACACGTTAAAAGAGGAGTAGCTAAGGGTATTCATGCTATATACACGCTTTACGTGCTCAGAGAAACCCTAAAATGTATATAGGCGCAATGATCAGAGCGAACGGAAGGATATGCGTGTACGCACGGAAAGACCGCGGAGAGGGTTGCTACTGCTAGTGTGTCGTGGTGGATTACGTTCGTCCGCGCTTGATGGTGTATGTGTCAGTAGCGGCTGCAGGATGGTTGCCATCGGGGGTGTACCTGTGTTCGTAACAGGCCTGTTACCAAGCAACCGACAATAAGGAACGTGGATAGCCAATGGCGGCCCTCAAAATACCCCTTCGTCTAACACAGTCTCGTGCTAAAAAGCGAGACAGAAACAGGCTTTTGCTTTAGTAGCTGTCAAAGCCTTTAAATTTCGCGTCGGACAACTCATGTCAAAACCTGGTCTTACAGCTCGATTTCTTAGTCTTCTGGACAACTATATTCCAATTCAATGCTGATTCAGTGGCTGAACACCATTGATAATTACATTTTTTTTATCTTAAAAGTGTGAAAACAGATGAAGATGTGAGTATTTCTTAACATTTCTACTTTAGTATACATATATCTAGAGTCTGAGGCCCGTATTTATAGTTGTGTTTCTGCTGAGAAACTCAATTGAAACTAATTTTAAGTCGTAGAACAGTTCAATAGACGAATCTTGAGAGTTTATTTACTTCACATTTGTGTAATTATGACTCAAGTGAGACATGTGTCATATAACATGTGTCATATTGTCATTAACTTGATTTTGGAAAGGTTATTTTCAAACAGGTGAAAAACATAGCTTTAATTGACATCTTGTATCTCAAAACAAGTTTCACATGAGTAATCATTCCGCGTCTTAAATAAATACAGTTTCAATTGATTTCTAATTAAGATATGACTATTGAATTGTTCGTGTTTCAAGTTATAAGATTTCATTCTAAGTATCTCGCCTGATATGCTCTTGAGATGAAATTTGAGAAACGTCTACAAATACGGACCTAAGTAGAGTAAAAAAGCTTTTCTCCTATTCAATTCATTGACAAATAATTAATTCAATTGTTTTAACTTCATCTAATTATAAAATATTTGTATTTTATATATAGCCAAATGATAAATATGAAGAAATAACACAGAAAGAGATGCTCTCTGAAGATGTAAAGATTACACGAATACTAAGAAATACTTTATAAAAGATACTTAGAGATACATTAAGAATAAAATATTAAGGATGGAAATAGTCCTAATAGTTCTATTAAAAATATTAACGTTATTTAAACTCATGATTATTATTATTATTATATAATAATTATTACAATTATATCTGAATCTTAAAATTATAGTGATTTAAATAAATTCTTTTTTAATAAAGATGTTCCAAAGTTTCTATTAATTTCATTTTATATTAACTAGCGATCGATTGTTTTAAATTTTATTTTAACTTCAAAGTAATTTTATAAATAATTGGTTGATGTGTGTGTACAAATACTGCTATCTACTATCAGCTTTAAATAAGATTTGCACGATCTATATATTGCGTTTTTGTCTAACCCTAACAGTAGCTCGAGAGACTAGGCATTACGTTTTGCGTGGACGAAAATTGACGTTCCAGAGAAAGAGAGAGAAGAAGAAGACGGAAAAGAGAGAACGAGTTTACATCCAGCAAATAGAAACGCGCGTGAAGTATTACGAGCGAGGAGGGCAGCACGGCACATCGCCGTGTCCTTACACAGTAGGCCGTATGTATGATGATCCCATGGGGGTTGGTAGGAGGACCAAGGTAGCGTGTAGCAC